ATTCAGCAAATTTCACGGTAGGGCAGGACCTGTGTCCCCACTAACTATTGAATGTAGTGCCCTCAAATAGCCAATTAGATCCTCAGGAGGATTTACAATACAAGTATTCCTACGCCTCTACAAAAGTCATGCCGTTGAGACAATTCCTCTTGGTTTTATTAAAAAATATTAATTAGAAGTCGAGATATGATGAAAAAACGATTTTCGGGGGTGAATTTCAGGGGTCGTTTTCACCCCTTTAAAGTGGATGTCAGCAAAAAAAAATACGTGTCTCTTATTTTGTCGAGTACTACAACATATCAAAAAATTATTGAAATCGGTGGGGTCGGGTTGGGGGGGTTTCCTTGTTAGTCACAATCTCGCTGCTGCAGCTCAGGGTGTCCAGTGGCCTCTGGCGATGATGAAGTTCCGGTCCAGTCGTGGACGATAGCGGCTGGGATCCTGATGTTTTCGGTAGTCCTGCTGAGACTGTCTATCGTCTCAGCTCAGGTGCGGTTCCTCCGGTCTGGGGGCCCGTTGATCCTTCCGCACGAGAATTCCCGCGGAACTCGGGACTTTCTCGTCTTCGGTACTAGCCGATACAAGTCTGGCTAAAGTGGTTTAATTATTCACGATCACGATATACGGAGATGGGCCTTACAAGTTCAAAAAGAAATTGGATCTGAAGATGTAAGATTTAAAGCTTCTAAAAATTGGTTAGCGAAATTCCAAAAGGCTCACAGAATAGTGTCTAGAAAAATAAATAAATTTATTACTAGGAAAACATTGGAAAATACTTTAGGCCTCCAAATGATGGCTGATATGTTTGTTGCTGATGTGAAATCTTCTATATCATCAATTGGAATTGAAAATTTATATAATTCAGATCAGAGTGGGTTCCAATTAGAAATGCATTCTGGAAGAACATTAGCAGTTGAAGGAGGTGCAAGTGCAATGAAGTCTTTATGTTTTAAGCACTTTTTTGAAGATAATCATTATTGTCAACACTTTGAAGAATAAAATACTGTGACTTACAATTAATTATAAAAAGAGAAGAAAAAGAAATAAATCTTATAAAAATAATTTTTAATCATAGTTTCATTAAAAAATATTAATAAATATTGAGTACATACCCTGGTTTATATGAAGAAAAAAAGCATAAAATATATAGTTTTTTCAAAATATAAAATAAGGGTTGCAACGCCTTGGGTCATAAACACACCTCATATCTTCGACTTTTTATGACAAATATTTTCCACTTGGTTTTATTAAAAAATATCAATTAGAATCTGACATATGATAAAAAACAATTTTCGGGGGTAAAATTTAGGGGTGGTTTTTATCCCTTTGAAAAATCCTGAAACACCCCAACTGAAATATTTGATAGAGTTAATGGAAACGCTTTTCTTTATTTTTTTGAGCCCATACCCCGGTTTTTATGCAGAAAAAAAGCATAAAAAATATAGTTTTTTCAAAATATAAAATAAGGGTTGCAACCCCTTGGGTCATAAACACACCTCATATCTTCGACTTCTTATGACAAATATTGTCCACTTGCTTTTATTAAAAAATATTAATTAGAAGTCGAGATATGATGAAAAAACGATTTTCGGGGGTGAATTTCAGGGGTCGTTTTCACCCCTTTAAAGTGGATGTCAGCACAAAAAAAAAATACGTGTCTCTTATTTTGTCGAGTACTACAACATATCAAAAAATTATTGAAATCGGTGGGGTCGGGTTGGGGGGGTTTCCTTGTAAGTTTCAGTCTTTCTAGTGATAAGTATACTTCTCTCGATTGGCCCTGAAAGGGTTGAAATGTCGACATTTACATTATCCGATCGTATATAATGGACGTCTTTAATCCGGCACTAATCAACTGCTCTATTTGAACAGCATTAGTTATATGGGGTAATTAAATACCCCAGATCGAATTCTTGAGCTCCGTTCCTCAATAAACGCAGATATATTTGTAGTATTTTTATTACAGCTTTACTCCAGAATATTCATTTATTATGTCGCACAATTTACTAGTAATGACATATGTTCTTCCTAGACACGGGATTAAAATCTGTGTCGATACTTTAGTGTCATACAAAAATAGGACGCTGAAGTAACTTTTTAGCCCAGGGTAACTACCGCAGGGTTAGGACAGCACACAAATCACTATGAATGACGTCTGAACCATATCTCTTTGACAATCTGCATATCTTACGCTGAGAATGAGAAAAAAACGCGGCATAATCATTACGAAATACCACAGTTGAAATTTTATAGTTGTGAGAAACATCATTATAGTAAACGCAATAATATTGGGTTGGCATGAAAGTAATGAGACACTTTGTTTATGTTTTACATATTTTATTATCTTTATCATACAAGAAGTTCAGTCAATAATGTAATCTCCATGAGTATCTAAGACCTGTTGCCAACAACTGAGCATTGTCTGGATGCCAAAAACAATTAATTTAAAAAAGGACATGTGTCAAGTTTTCTAGATTGTCTCGTTACTTTCATGCCAACCCAATATTATAGTTGCCTTTACCATACGGATATAGCTACCGATACCTGTACATGACCCAGCTATATTTTGTGACGTGGTGGATTTCACCCGTTTTGTCCTCGGCGGAAAATCACGCCGAAACGCGATACGGGCCTAAGGCCACATCAAAGTCCAGGCAGGATTCACCGACCGCAAGGGCCTAATCAAGAGACGCGGTAGCGTCTCGACGCCAAGTATTAAAAGAAAAAATCGGCCTCCTCACGAGACGCTACCGCTA